ATCTTTAGGGAAAAAAGAAAGAAAATCCTTTATTTATCTTCCTGTAAAAGACTTCAAACAAAAATTGTCTAGGTGTCATTGTCATCATCTTAGGCTATACAACTTACAGGAACAAACAGGCAAACAGATGTTCGAGTGATTTCCTGCTCTGGCCAGGTTGCTGGGACAGAAACAACCTGTGCTTTTCTTTTCAAGCAAAGCTCCTGGATAGCGCACGCTAAAAAGCCGGAGAAAAGCATGAAAATGGTGTAAATCTTCAGAATAGTATATGAAGGAAAGACATATGGAAATTACAAGGTGCAATCAGAAAACAGCTTCACCAATAAAAATCTAAACATATCTAATTTCAGTGTGGCCAGTAATTTCTTTGAGCAGTAATGTACTACTTCCTGATAGCTTTGGTTCTTAGATAGCTGAGTGGGAGTAACAATATGACCAGTTGCACTGGATTTGCTCTATTGGTGACCATTTAGCTTGAACTTTATTTTGGTGGAAGAGGATGAAGACATAAGGAGTCTAATCTTAAACAAGAGGGTGGTTGGTGAGTGAAGATTGTGTTGGGATGGCCAACAAACACATTGTTTCAATGCACCAGACGTGAAGCTGCCAGACACACCAAATTTCAGAAGGTATCCCTTAAATGAGATTCCTCAGAAAATTATAGTAAAACTCAGCCTTGAAAATCTTACGCTGATTAAATTCATGGTGCGAAACTCCACTGATTGTCAAACAAGACAGTGAGGTCACATTCAGAACCCAGTGCATTCAAGCATTTACACTGTGGACTCTTAAAAAGTGCTGTTTGGCTCCTTGACATAAAAGCTATTCCAGTTTGACACAGAAGTTAATGCAAGTGGTAAAACTAGTCTAAACCTAGCCCCCCAGGAGGCTTTCCTGATGTGCCTTGGAGAAGACCACAAAGAGATCAGTCTTATATGACCAAGCTGATTAACTTTTTATCTGCATCACACCAAAAGTAAAGTTTCCTAACCCTCCATAGCAGAAGTCATCCAACTTTGTGCTGCATTCTCTGTAAACCAATCCTTCTGGACATGGCACATCTGAAATACGAAGTTAATAATACATCAATTTAAATTAGAACTTGCAAAGAAAGCAAATTTATTCATAAATCACTTAATTTCTAGCTTTACTGGTTTGCCATGTTAATTGTAAGACAAAAAAAAGACGATGCATACCACAGGTTCCATTAGTCAGTCCTCTCCAGTCAATACAGAAACCAAAGCTTTTACATTCTCCTGCAACTTGCTCCAGAGATGAGCAAGAACCATTTAGGTTCCTGCATGAATCAAACTCACAGTTCTTCTTTTTAAGGTTTAGATCCACGTAGTTGCTGCAGTTTTCAAAGACGCTGGAGAAATGGAAACAAAGTGAATTTAAGAATATTTGCTGAAATCATACACAAAGAGACAGAGAGCCACACACTATTACAATTAATAATCAAAATAAAGCAGTATATAACATGTACATTTATCATGAAGTACACTTGAAGCAGTTTTAACACAAACTTGTAAAATGTCTGTGAAGGTTCTCAGTCATCCAGGTCATCGTAGTCAAAGGAGCTTGCAAAGAAAAGCGTCTGGACTTCTCTTTCGAGGATGCCAATGTTCACATTTTGGACAGAGAGGACAGATGGTTTGAAAGAGGAGTGAAAGAAGCCATCTATGTCCACTGTGAGCGGCCATCTTTGAACAGAGGCGGTGGTTTACGACACCAACTCTCTGCCATCTATAATCCAGTTTTGAGATCCCTTCCCAGACGCCTTAACGCCCACTCACATCCTGGGCCATCTGACCTCAGGAATTCGCATGATAAGGTGGGGCTAGGTTTCACAATGAACTCACCCGAAACTCTGGCTGATTGGGACCCACACCCAGTTTCACACCTTGGCTCAGGCGATTAGAGGATCATCAGGGGGTCCTTTTGTCCCTCTGTGGGGGGATACTCCCACTAGGTTTATATCTGGGACTCTCCACCTTTTGACCTTAGAACTGAAGAAGCTTCTTGGATGAGAGGTGAAACGTCTTCAAGTAACTTAAAGAAGTCCAGACGCTTTTCTTTGCAAGCTCCTTTGACAAACTTGTAAACAAATCCCTGATTAGTAGGCTACATTCATGTGTTGACCTTACGGGTGGAGTAGAAATTCACATAATGGGTTTGGAGGGCAGGGAGGCGGAGGTGGGGGAGGAGGTGCTGAGGTTGGCCCAGGAAGACAGGGTACATCCCTTGGTGCAGAATTACAGGCAGGCTTCAGAGGATCTGGATACACCCAGTCATAGGCCGTCTTATCACAGCAGCTGTCATCCTCAATCTGCCCTCCTTTACGAATACATGATGCTCCACCACACACACCTGGAGGGAGAATTGAGAAGTGAGCTCTGATAAGCTTATATATATACTTCTAACACACTTCTAGCACTCCATCCAGTACTCACCGCATTGTCCCTGGGTGTTATTGAGGAAATGCTCCATGGCCAGGTTCACAACCAGGCTATAGAATGGAGTGAGGGAGACATAAGAACGAATCTCTGGGAGATGAATTGACACCATGTACCCCGTGGTCTCAAATCTAAAACCATTCTCTTCATATGGTGGTTGGACTGTCACATTGTTCAGTGTAGCCTAAAGTATAATAACATTATCATCAAAATTAGCTGTCTTTCCAGTGAGTATTCTCAGTTGCAAACTGCTGTATAATTACTGAATATGGATGCATGATGAAATCCTACCTGTACTACAAACAATTGTGTGTTGATGTTGAGTGCAGCTACATTGTTTTGATATTTCAGAATGAGTCCTTTGGCACAGGAGCCTTGCAGGCCAGGCACGCAATAAAAGTTGTCCACAGCAATGGTCAGATTATGACGTGGTGACTGCTCCTCAACCAAGATGTAGGAGCACTGATCCAAGAAATCAAAGGGTATTCCTTGGAAAGAAACATAGTGGGGATCCCCAAACAGCTCACAGTGACCTGGGAATGGGATACCAGAAAGAATAAAAACACAATTTGGATTTCAGCTGAAAATAAGAATCTGTCAAAATGCCAACCTGAGCCAGCTGCACAACTCTAATAATGACATTCTGGGTTAGTCAGTCAGTGGTATGGTCACTTACAGTCACATTTCCATGTTTCACAGCATCCATCCGAGACCTTTATGGCCCGTTCTCTGGGACAGGACAGAGCTGTAGACTTTGGGCAAACCACTGGGGTCAACTCTATCTTTCCACCAACACAGCGCTTATCAAAGCAGTCCTCTGTCCATGTCTCCCCACAAATCCAGCTTTTTTTACTCTTCAGGTCTACACATCTACAGACTGGTGCAAAAATACAGAAACATTGATTAGGTTATTCTCGTGAATGACTACTATGATCATAAATGAAAATGTCTGGTTGGTAGTTAGTTAGGTGGTTGTAGACATAATAAATATTGTGGGAGCTTCTGTGCTGGTAGCAGTCATACCTGACGTTACTGCAGTTGTTGCATTGGTTGCAAACGTGCTTGTCGGCTGAAGTGTTCCAAATGTTGTGGGAAATACTGACAGAGATATAATATCGTTTAGGTTACTCACATAAACGACTGCTATGATAATGAACAGTGCAAAACAGATACATAAGATTTACCTTGGGAGTTGTTCTGAGGTGGTGTTGTTGTGATTGGGGGTCCTGTGTTAATTTCGGGTGTGGATTCTGTATTAATAGATGAAAATGTTGTGGTGCCTACTGAAGTGCTATGGGTTCCCATTGTTGTAGCAGCTGTTTCTGTTATTTCTGTTTGTCCAGATGTTGTCACAGTATTAGTTATCAGTGGCGACGTAGATTTAGATGTTGTTGATTCAGAGTGGGAGGTAGTAGGTTGGGTGGTTGTAGTAAATACAGTGGGAACTTCTGTGCTTATTGCTGTCAGATCTGAGGTTACAGCAGATGTAGAATTGGTTGCAAAGGTGCTGGTGGACTGAAGTGTAGTGACTGTTGGCTGCGTATGTTTTGTCGATGGTGGAGGTGTTGAGACATATGTTGGTATAACTGTGTTTGTCGGCTCTGATTCTGTGGCCCATGTTGTTGAAGCATTAAGGAATGAAGTACTTGTAGGTAGGTAAGAGGTTGAAAGTACAGTACTAGCAGATTCAGTGGGAGTCTCTGTTGTAAACTCTGTTACTGTTGTAGGGTGTGTCGAGTGAGTTACGGATGTTGAAGAAGTTGACAGTGATGTGGAGAGTGTGCTGATAGTGGCTGTAGTTGTGTTAGCTTCTGTAGGGGCTATTGAGGTAATGGTGGTAGGTAAAGTAGTTGTTGGTTTAGTGGTGGAAAGTTCAGCAGTGGTGCTGGACCCTGTGGTTCCAGTTGTAGTTTTAGTAGTTGCTGCAGATGTAGTAGTGGGCATTGTTGACCATGTTTCACTGGTACCCGAAGTAGTTGTAGTGTTTGGTTCAGAGGTGGTGGGGGACCATGTTACAGTAGTAGTTGA